TGAAGCGAACTTGGGTTCTGCAGCAGGACAATGATCCAAAACACACCAGCAAGTCCACCTCTGAATGGCTGAAGAAAAACAAAATGAAGACTTTGGAGTGGCCTAGTCAAAGTCCTGACCTGAATCCTATTGAGATGCTGTGGCATGACCTTAAAAAGGCGGTTCATGCTCGAAAACCCTCCAATGTGGCTGAATTACAACAATTCTGCATAGATGAGTGGACCAAAATTCCTCCACAGCGCTGTAACAGACTCATTGCAAGTTATCACAAACACTTGATTGCAGTTGTTGCTGCTAAGGCTGGCCCTACCAGTTATTATTACTGTTCATTTGTGTTATCTTTTACTAATATTTAAATTAGTTTGATGATCTGAAACATTAAAGTGTGACAAACATGCAAAAAAATAAGAAATCAGGAAGGGGGCCAACACTTTTTCACACAACTGTATTTCAAGCATTGATGAAACATTTGTTTGTTTATATTTTAGCATTTATTTACTAATTTTAAGCATTTTGAAATCCAGCATAATCACACATTTATTCAGCAATTTTTAGCATTTATTTATTAATTTAAGCATTTTTTAAACACACATTTACTTATGGAATTAAGCATTTATTTGAAAGTTTAAGCATTTATTTATGCATGTATTTATTCAACAATCTATTTAGGCTTTCTATTTATTTAAACATTTAGGCATTTATTTAAGCATTAACTTTATTATTTGTGCATTTATTTATTCATTTATTGATTATTTATATATTTGATGTTTAACGTTAACGTTTACGTTTTTTTTTACTGTTTTTATTCCAAAATTTATTTAAACAAGCATTTATGTATTTGTGTATTTAAGCCGTTATTTATTTATTTAAACTTTTTGACATTTTTTTTGTATCATTTAAGCATTCTTTTAAACATTTAAGCAATTTACAATATTGTTATATTTTTTGTACTGCTTTTTTAAATAATAATAATAATTTGTACTGCAAAGCTAGATTATACATTACACACATACACACATAATATATATATATATATATACTTATATTTTTATTGTTATACAAAATAAAAAGAAATAAAATTTTGTGATATGGCTTCATATATAAATGCTCTCCTTTTTTTTTTTTGCTTTCAATTTATATGGTAAAAGGTAACCTGGACATTCATCAGATATAAAAATGAGATTTGAGCCTGTGGTTAAAAAATATTGTGGTGGTATTATGGTACAGTGATTATAATAGCATGGTGCACTGAGCATATATCCTATTACTGAATGATGGTGTTTATCTCCAGGATACTTCAAATAATACCGTGATGCATGATCCAAAAGCATTGTAATGCTGTGATACTTTTGTTGTGTGTATGCAATGGAATGGTCTTAATAATGTAACGGTGTGTGTGTGTGTGTGTGTGTGTGTGTGTGTGTGTTTTAGCTTCGGGTCTGTCGGTGGTTTTGTTCTGTGTGACGCAGGATGAGCTGTTGAACCGGTTGATGGTTTTTGGCACAGCCGGGACGGTCGACTCGCTCTGCCATCTGAACGCCTGGGGACGCTGTTCAATACCCATACATGCCCTACAGGTACATAATCACACTAATTATATCGAGTAACTTGGGGTGACCATACGTGCCATTTTCCCAGGACGCGTCCTGGCCAGGATTTGTTTTGGCTTAGTTTTCATGCTTGCTGAAGGTAATGATCGAAAAGTAGTTTGACCAATAACATGCAAGCATTGTACATAATGGACCAATCATGGCGTGTGAGAAGGTGGGATCTACGGTCAATGCGACGCAATTACATGTACATATTAGGTGTGTTCGACTTGAAAGCAGTGCGGCTCAGACCGATCAGTGTTTGACATCAAAGTACCTAGAGAGCGTTTCGAAAGCATAATCGTCTGTATGGTATTTAGATGTCATACACCGATCGGTCTGCACACGCAAACAAAGCCAAAACCTCGATATTTTAGGCAATATAGAAATCCTGGCCAGGACGCGTCCTGGGAAAATGGCACGTATGGTCACCCTAGAGTAACTCTAATATTGTTCATGCAAACTCAGAGAATAAGGCATCAAGGCACTCAAAGCCATTTATTTTCATTGCCGAAGCGAAACCTTTGGCTGCATTGTGTCTGAAATGATATTTTTGCTCTGGTGTGATTTCAGGCCGGCCTGAAGAACCACCAGCTGGATACGGTTGATTTCTTTCTGAAGAGTAAGGAGAACATCCTGAGCCCCGCGTCTGGGTTTGTTCTGCCCGTCTCGACCCAAAGCCATCTGAGGAGTAAGTCAGCTTTAATGAGATCCTCTGATCACTAACGACCTTCTCCAGCCGCGGCTTAATTAAAAGTTCTTAAGAAGTGTCCTGTCTGATCTTCTGGGTCATTAATTAAAGGGCAGAAGAAATGGCGTAAATGTGAGGCTGGAGAGCGTCGTTAATGTGCCTCTGTTGTTAGCTCTTGACCTCATTGGTTGGGTGTCATAAATTGCATCCGAGTTACAAT